ATATACCAGATGGTGTCGTTACAGGTACGATCCTGATTTTTATTATAAAAGGATATTTTTCTTAATTTGATTCGGTTCTGAATATTGAGGTGAATCCTCCTATTATGCTCCACTTATGGGTGAGCTTCGTAAATTTGTGACCCACTTATATGTGTATCCCTGTTGAGAGATTTAAAGATGTGAGCCTGTGTCTGTCACTTTATTTTTATGCATCATTGAGGGCTATAAGTCCAAAAATAAAAAAAAACAAAAAAATTATTATTCAATACAGTGGGTTTAATGTGTTTCGGAATAATTGATTCCAATTTTTATGAATTATACGCCCTACCGTTATGAGGGTTCATTATATGTTGTGAAAATTGTTTATGAAATATATTGAAAAGAAGAAAGAAAGAAAAGTTGAAATTTCAATTGGCATAATGTGCAAAATACTTGTGATTCGGAGTTGAGAACGAGATCCTCGCATTTTATATATGATATAAATTATTTAAACCGGGCTGCAAGCCGTGGTGGAAGTTATGTAAGGACGAGGCCCTTGTGGTGAAATATTTATGAGTTTAAAAAAAATCCTTCGTGAAATTTATTTGTGCAATAATATTAATAGGGAGCCATGTCGGTTAGGCTTATTTGATAATGCTTGTATATTTTCTGTTCATATTCATCATTTTTGTGTTGTAAATATTGAGTTTTAGCCTATGAGGTGAGTGCCTGGGTGGCGTTAAACGCGACTCATTAACCCGCGTAAGTAATCATGAGGTCTTCATGCCTCACTTTCTGTTGTCAATGTTGTGAAAAATTTGAAACGAGGCGATGATTAATATGAGATTAATTGATGATGCTGGAATTAATTATGAACAACTTTTAAGACCAGAGATGTGGTGATGAGCATACATATGATGTGCTTCATGTCCTGATATCATTATGATCAGGCAATGCTGAGATTAATGTTATTGATATATACCCTGTGGTATTTTGTTGGATTGTGAATATGTTGTTAGGAGTTGTTTGGGTGTTACTCTGGCAGGTGGATAGGCCCAATTACAGGGGAGACTTTGCCGAAATTTTTGAAAAATTTGGGAGTTAGTAAAATTTGAAGGATTGGGATTTGCAAAGGAAGAGATGAATTATGTTATGTATTTGAGGGCGAATGATCCTAAGCGGGGAATACTATAGCACCCCAAAGGAAGTTTTGAGTTACTTCAACACTATTGAGGAAATTTATATGTGCATAGGCATGAGTTGCTATAGCTAGTTGAGACTAATGTTGTGAGTTGTTGTGAGAATTCAGGCATTTTTGGAAATGATTGGAGAGTTAGGGATTTTTCTTTAAAGCTTATAAGAATGGAGAAAAGAAATAATCTCAATTGAGATGGTGTTATCGGACCCTTGTTAAATGGCGGGAATGTAAAATCACTCACAAGTATGTGTGCAAGAATATACTCAGTAATTTAAATTCCTCAGAAAGATTCTTAGCACATTCGAGGACGAATATTTATTTAAGAGGCAGAGAATGTAACGACCCGACTTATCGTTTTAAGAATTTATGCCCCGTTCAGTGACTTAAGGTTTCGAGCAGCCTCGCAATATGTATTATGACCCGCGTGTGTGGTTGAGTTTGATTTACGGACGATTCAGAGTGATTTGGGATACTTAGTCCCTAAGACGGAAGCTTAAGTCTTAGGATTTCGACCGTAGTCGGAACTGTATGAAGACAACTCTGGAATAGAGTTCCGACGATTCCGTTAGCTCCGTTGGGTGATTTTGGACTTAGGAGCATGTCCGAACTGTGAATCTGAGGTCTGTAGCCAATTTAGGCTTGAAATGGCGAAAGTCAAATTTTTGGAAAGTTTGACCGGGGGGTTGACTTTTTGATATCGAAGTCGGAATACGATTCCGAGAGTTGGAACAACTCCGTTATGTTATTTGGGATTTGTCTGCAAAATTTGATGTCATTCCGGGTTGGTTTGATAGGTTTCGGCACGAGTTTTAGAAGTTGGAAGTTTTGAAAGTTCATAAGTTCGATTCGTGGTGCGATTTGTATTTTTGGCGTTATTTGATGTGATTTGAAACCTCGAGCGAGTCCGTGATATGTTATGGGACTGGTTGGTATGATTGGACGGGGTTCCGAGGAGCTCGGGTGTGTCTCGGGGTGGTTTCGGACCAAATTGGAGCTGTTTGGACTGCTGTTTTCTGTCATCTGGTTTCCTTCTTCGGGAACGCGAAGGGAGTCCCGCGTTCGCGAAGAGGAATTTGAGGGTGATCGTTTGGCCTTCGCGAACGTGAAGCATAGAACGCGAACGCGAATGAGTTAGTCAGCTGGTCATCGCGAACGCGACGAGGAGTTCGTGAACGCGAAGAGGAAAGGAGAGTTGGGGGCGTGCCTGGCGTTAAGCCTTCGCGAACGTGACTCGTGTCTCGCAAACGCGAAAGGCAGAAGTCGGAAGGCATCACGAACGCGAAGAAGGAATCTGGGCAGCACATTTTTTTGTGCTTCGCGAACGCGAAGCAATGGTCGCGAACGCAAAGAAGGCCTGTCTGGGCAGAATTAAAAGTCCCAAAATTGGGGTTTTGAGTTCATAACTCAAAATCTAATTTGGAGAGATTCTTGCGTGGGTGTTTGGGATTTGAGCTGTCCGTAGGTCAATTCAAGCAAGAAGGCTATTTTGGAATATCAACCTTACTTCAAAAGGTAAGTGTCTTGCTTAACCTCGAGTGGGAGAAATTCCCCTTAGGCATTGAGTCTTATGTACAACTTGGGTAATTGAAAATCATGTACGTGAGGTGACGAGTACGTACTTGGTTTATATGTGCAAATTTTATTGAGTTAAAGTCTTGAGCATATTGTGCAGTAAATTTGATAATTGTTGGCATATATTTAATCATTTACTTGTCGTGCCTAAACCCTTGTTGTTGACTCTGTTGTTATATGACAATGTGAAGTGATTGTTATTTGATTATTTATGAAATTTCGTGAATTTGCTGGCTTGATAATTATTGAAATTTAATTTTATTTTTGATTTTCCCCTCTGCAAATAATTAATTAAATGAGCTTAAGAAGATGTGTTTATATAATTATTGAAAATTTGATCTTTTTATAAAGACTTTGCTTTATGTTAAGTAATTTCTATCTCTATTGATTGTTTTTGGGTGTTGTACACATTGTGTGGATCATTTGGCTATATGCTGTAAAATTAATTAACTTAGTTGTAGCTTTGAAATTTGGTTGTAGCTATTGGAAAAATTGTGATATGAATTTATTTTTGTTATGTTGTGATAATTTCTCGTGTAAATTATTGTGTTGTGTGAGTTGTTATTTTGGGGAGATAAGGGTGACAATAGGAGTGATAAGGGTGGCTATTGATATTGTCTGGGCGGAGCGATAAGGGTGGCTATAGGAGCGATAAGGGTGTCAATATGAGCGATAAGGGTGGCTATTGTCAGGGACGATATATGATGATGTGGGGTTGTGGTATTGACAATTTTCATGTGATGTTGTGATTATTTTGTGTTTATTTTTATACCTTGTGCAACTTTTCTTGTTGTTAGTAAATTGATAATAATCTGATTTATGTTGAAATTGAAAGCCTGTGGCTATTGCCAGGCGGTTTATAAAATAAAATGTGGGCACGAGGTACCGTTAATTGTGATATGAGATGGGGATATTGGCACGTGAATTGTCCGTGCACTTATGATATGAAATGAGGGCACAAGGTGCCGGGCAAATATGATGATTTAATTATGGGCACGAGGTGCCGTGGAAATATGAAAATGGGCTGAGACCCATATTTACGAAAAAAATATAAAAAAATGGGCTGAGACTCGTATTTTGATGATTTTGAAATGAGGTGTCACATGGTGACTTTTTAATTGAAAGAATTATATTCAAAATATTTATTTGGAAGGATTTTTACTTAGAAAGTATTATATAAAAGAATTGTATTTTGAAAGATATTTATTTGAGGAAATTGTATTTGAAAAGATTTATTGAAAGAATTATATTTGAAAAATAATTATTTGAGAAAATTATATTTGAAAGAGAGTTATCTGGAAGAACTATGTGAAAGACATTTATTTGAAGGGCTTGATTTAATTGGGTGTAATTGTGTTTATTAATTGTTGAGTGATATTAATGGTATTCTTGTTGTCTGTTGTGCATATCACTGGTTGTTTTATCCTGCCTTTATTATTATTTGTTTCCTATTATTTTGTATATTATATTGCACAGGTTATTAGACTAGTGAGTGTGTTGACTGTATTTTGTCTCTACTCCATTGAGGTTAGTCTTGATACTTACTGGGCACCGCCGTGGTGTGCTTACTCTACACTTCTGCACATTTTTGTGCAGAGCCAGGTATTGAAGATAACGGACTTGAGCAGAGTTAAAGCGAGATCGTAAGGATTCAAGGTAGAGCTGCTTGGTCGTCGCAGTCCCTTGGAGTCTTTTTATTTCATTGTACTGTTAACTTGTAATCAAACAATATACAATATTCGGTCCTCGTGATCATTCTATGTATTCAGTTAGAGTTCGTGACTCAGTACTACCGGTCTTGGGAGGTTGTATATTGTAATTATTTCCGTTGTTAGTTTTGGTTACTTATTTAATTAAAAAAATGGCTTTAAAAATGCAATGGAAATCGGCTTACCTAGTCTTAGAGACTAGGTGCCATCACGACTCTTGTGATGAGATTTTGGGTCGTGACAGTAAAACCCTATAAATTTTAAAACATTAGTTATATTAACAAATGACATGTCTAATAACGTGATTTAGAAAATTTTGAAAGGGTGTGAAAGTCGCACAAAGTTATTACATTCCTTGGAGTATGTTAACGAGGTTATGGTGTGAATTAGAGAAGGTTAAGAGTAAAAAGACGCGAGGTTTGTCGGTAGAGATTTTATAAAAAAATTACAATATCTTTACGAAGGCTGTCCGAAGGGATTGACAAAAGCTGAAATATTTATGCTTTAGCCTGAAAAGGCACGCCCCACCTGGGAAGTCTGTCTATAAATAGCCCGTGGACAGGATTTTCCCATTCCAATCACCCCAAATAGGTAGGGTTTATTCTACTCAAGAAGATGTTGACCCAAAATCATTTTTCAACGCCCAAGGTGAGATTTTAATGCGATTAAGGTTGGATTATTACTCCCCAACATAGATTCTAATAAAATTTTATCTTCAAATCATTAGATCATCTACAAGAACCCAAGAATAAGATTTCTTCTTTAACCTAGTGCACCTAGTACTTGTGAGAAATGCTCAAGGTAAGATCTTTACACCAATTCCTACCTAAATTAAGTTGAATTCTCACCACTAAAGTTGAAGTTCATGCTATTATAGGTTGAATTAGTAGGAAGTTCATACAAAATGTTCAAGAACACTAAACAACAAGAAATCTAGGGTTTTGAGTTAAGGTAACCTCTCATCGTATTTTTGAATCCTTTTATGGGTCTAAGATTATGAACGACATGTACAAACTAGAAACACCAAAAGAGTAAAACTTTATTCAAAATCTTGAAATCGAAGTTTTGGGATTAGGGCTTTTTAGCCAAAGTTTGAATTGAGGAAAATTGAATTCATGGGGATAGAATGAACTTTAATTGAGTTATTTGGTGTAGATTGTGGTGATTAATTGTGGTAAATGCATGGGGAGACTAACCCTGCCAGAAAAGAAGAATATTTAAGGTAAGTTGAGGTTTCTTTCCTAAGTTAAGAGCTACATTAGAATGTGCATATTATTGTTTGCATTACTTTTCAGAATAAGCTACATATGATTGTGAACTCTTCTGATAGAAAATGACAAAATTATAGGAGATGTTGCAATCACTTGCTTATGTGAAATTACTTGTACTACTTAGACTTTTCTTTTGTAGTTTTAAATTAATGAGATCATATCCGAAAAGGGAGAAGTAGCTAACCTCCATGAGTATGAGTGTCGCGGTGGCCAGGGCTAACTACCCCATACTTGCAAGTGCTAACACATTCAGATAGGTTGAGATCTTGATTGGGCGTACTCGATGGTCCCATTATGGATTGAGCTTGAGTGAACACAATTAGAGCGCCCCACAATCGTTTTCGTAGGCCCTGTATGTCATCCTAGGTCCAATTCATGTAAATCATTTTTTTTTAAGAGTAACTCTTTAAAAATATAACTTAGTTTTCAGTGTCAGTTTAGATATCAGTTTTAGACTCAGCTCTCAACTTTAGTTTCATTATCCGCAGAGGCGGATCCAGGGTTTTGGCAGGATGGGTGCACTATTAAGAAGAGGTGGATCCAGAATATAAATTTTACGGGTTCAACCTTTAGTTCTTACGATTGCGAACCCATTGCACTTTTGGAATTATAAGTTCAATTTTTTTATAAATAGTAATTTTCTTACATCTATATCTATTTTTCATGTTGAAAATATTGAGATCAGTTGAACCCATTGACTATATGCTACATCTTACACTGCTACTAGTTTTAATATACATATTTTGTTTAATCATATAAGATTTTACAACGACAAAAGAAGAAAAGGAATTTCAGTGTGTGAAAATTTTAAAAGAATAAACTAAACAAAAAATTTAAAAAGAAAAAGTACTTAATTAATACGCAAAAAATAATACCAGACACAACCATCTCCCGTGGGCGTCTACTTTTAGAAAAAAAGAGAGGAAAAAATAACAAGATTGACATAAGATTTGAACTCACAACCTCACCTAGAGAGGTACACTCAATAACCATCACATCATATAATACTTTGAGCATGGGTGCACACACATATATTTAAATATTTTTAAAAAAATATAATATTATTATACATGATATTTAGGGCGGGGAGCATGGATTCACGTGCCCCATGGAACCCCCTAGATACGCCCTTGATTATCCGATCAGCTTTAGTATTAAATTTTTAATTTTTAGTTATCAGTTTAAATTCTGTATTCAGAATCAATTTCAGTTTACAGATTATTTAATGTGTATTTTGTGAATTACCTTCCCTACTTGTTGTATTTTATTATAATTATATATAGCCCACGATAGTCTTGTTATCCGCTTAAGGGGTTATCAATGAGACTTTTTGAATATTCTTTTGAAAGTACTTAGCTCATTTGGATCTGCCACGTTGTGTGACAGACGTTGAGTTTGTAGGTGACGAGGTACATGGCTTGAGACGTGGTAGACGTTGAGTTTGTAGGTGACGAGGCACATGGCTTGAAGCAGCCGTTGACTCTTTCTAGTGATGTTGGTTCCCTTTTTTGATCTTTAGTTGTCATTTGACTTTTATATCATTCTAGAGAACGTCCCGAAGATTTATGTACTCAAACTTTCACTAGAGGCTCATGACTTGTTGGCCGATTTAGTTGTCAAACATGTTAATGTTTATTTTTAGTATTTAAGTTTTCAAGCGATATTTACCTTGAGACTCTTTTGTAATGAATTTCTTGGGTATGATGGTCTGTTTAGAATTTTAGTTAGTTATAATAGGGCTTGTTCAACGAGGAAGGTAAGTTGAGTCATCATGTTTCACCCCATTTTCTAGGCATGACCAGTAGAGGCTCATGTTCAGGGTCGACTCTAACCTTATCACAAGTAAGGTTAGTGCCTTAGGCCTTCAAATTTGGGAGGCCCCATTTTTAAAAATAATAGGTTCATAGATATTTAAAAACAATATTTTGTACTTTTAGTATAAAACTAGAGTTTTTCTATAACAATTGCCTCAAAGAAAAGAAGTTTTACAAAATTATACTCCATTGATAATACCTAAAGAGAATCTTATATAAATGACCCAAATAAGTCCTAACTTACCACCCTCTAATCATTAATCATAGACTTACTGTTGCTCCCAAACGCACACACAAGTATACATGGTCATATAAGTAATAAAATGATAAGTCGAGTGTCGAACCCACAGAGACTTGTGTAACTACCCACTAGTTTTACCAAGATTATTATTCAGTCAAGTAATTCAGAATTCAAAAGTGTAAATATACTATGCAATAATTCTAACAAGTAACTAATTTATTAAGCGGCAAAGTAGTTGTTGTGTATTCAGTAGAGACAAATATTCCATAGTTGTGATCGATTTACCAATCTTATTATGTTCTAATTAACTCAACCTTTCATATAATTCACTCATGGTTGCTAATTAATCGAACAATTACTCTCGTAGTATTCTCCCGAATTCCTACTCGCCTATTCAAAATAGATTAACGCCTATATTCCTATGGAATCAATCTATTAAGAACGCATTAAGATTACGATATTTAATTAAGCACAATGACTAGGTATATTACTATCCTCATAGTTAAAGATCATGCTTATCACGACCCGATTTTTTCACCTTCGGGACCGTGATGGCACCTAACATTTCACTTGCTAGGCAAGACAACGTTAGAATAATCTTAACCATTTTTAAACAAATCAATTTAAACGGAAGTCAATTACTGAAATAAAGTGCGGAATACCATAACAACCGAATCATCCAAAATACATCCCCGAATCTGGTGTCACAAGTGTACGAGCTACTAGAATAATACAAATAAAGATCTGGATAAAAATTCAAGATGTTTGAAAGGTAATACACAGTTAAGATAAAGTAGAAAGGGACTTCAGAACTGCGGACGTTGTGCAGTTATACCTCAAGTCTCCTCTGGGTAGCTGAATCCTAGCAAGTCTATGGTACGTCGCTAGGACCAACTCCAAACTCTGTACAAGAAGTACAGATTGTAGTATGAGTACAACCGACCCCATGTACTCCGTAAGTATCGAGCCTAACCTCGACAAAGTAGTGACGAGGCTATGACAAGACACTTACGTAAATAACCTGTACAAGTATATACAAATACGAAGCAACAATGAACACAATAATTAATAAATCTTACCAATTTGGGAGGGAACATGCGAAGGGGAATGATATGAAAATTTCAGCAGGAGAAGTGCCACGTAGCAACCAATTAATTCATCAACAATATTATAAATAGCTGATAATATGAAAATGGTATGGCACCACCTTTTGTGCTTTTACTCTCATCCTTACAATGAAATGATGAATAAATAATATGAATGGCACGACATCACCCTTTGTGATTTAACTCACTTTCTTGTCACAGTATGAAGATTAAATAATTTAAATGGCACGGAATCACCCTTCGTGCTTTAACTCTCTTTCTAACTTTATAAATCAATAAATAATGATGTGAAAATGGCACGGCATGACCCTTCGTGCTTTTACACTCTTCCTTACCATGACAATATTAATATAAATAATATAAATGTCACGACATCACCCTTCGTACTTTTACACTCTTCCTTACAATGGAATGGTAATATAAATTCGGAAGAGTATTTTAAATGCGGGGATCCATATTTATCAATCAATTCCCTACCAGAATACCGACCTCACCTTCCAAAATATTCAACAATAATTAAATTAGCAATAATTTCACGAAAGTGGTCAAATAAACAATAATAAACTTAAGCATGAATATCTTAATTAAATAGGTAATTATTCACAATGAACAAATTTCACCCGCATGCTTTGACTCAACCACAACGCATAAGTACTCGTCACCTCACACATACGTTGTACCCGCACATTAAATCATGTAGCAAATAGACAAATAAGTCCTACTCCCTCAAGTTAAGGTTAACCATGATACTTACCTCGCTTTGCAACCAACTCAAGATTCTAATAAACCTTTGCCTCACGAATTGGTGTCTGAATGCCTCGAATCTAATCACAAACAATTCAATATACTCAACACGAATTATAGAAACTAATTCTATATGAAAATACTAAAATTTTTAATTAAAATCTGAAATTCAATTAAAAAATCTACAGTGGGGCCCACGTCTCGAAACCCAAAAAAAGTTACAAAATGCGAACGCCCATATAACCACGAGTCCAACCATACAAATTTATCAAATTCTGACATCAACTCGACCTTCAAATCCTCAAATCTTATGTTCTAATCCCTAGGCCCAAATCCCCGAATTTCACCTCAAAAATACATAACCTAGTCTAAATACTCGTTGATAATTCTATATTATTGACTAACAATGATCATAAGTGGCTTATCTCAAGATTTCCCGTGAATTCTCGCTCAAAACAACCTCAACCCGTGTTTGAAAGGTCCAAATGACAAAAATGTCGGACCCTTTTGTTTTTTGTAGCCTGCCCAGCGTTTCCGCTGTGGTCTCGTAGATGCGAGGCCCTCCCTGCTTCTGCATCTTCTTTCACTTCTGTGGACAAGAGGTCCGCTTTTGCGGCCTCGTATTTGCGGTTGCCCAAGCCGCTTCTGCGAAGAGGCCCCTCCCCTCTCACTTTCGCTTCTGCGATTAACTCGTCGTAGGTGCGAGTCCGCTTCTACGGTCCTGTGTGCGCACCTGCGACCCATGCTGTCACGACCCAAAATACTAACATGTCGTGATGGTGCCTATCTCATTACTAGGCAAGCCGACAACCTCAATAAACCACAATTTCTTTCAATTTTGAAAACATAATATTTGAATTCAATAGAAAAATTCACAATTATAGATACAAAACAGTCCCAAAATCCGGTGTCACTGATGTACATGAGCATCTAAATGAATACAAAGTCTGACTGATAAAAATATTATCCGAAAATATAGAACAGTACAATAACTTAAAGGAAGAGAGAGACAAGGTCAGCGGATGCCAAGCAGTTACCTTGATAGTCTCCAACTGGTAACACAATGAGGTCTAACAGTCACCGTATCCGGAAGTACCTGGATTTGCACACGAGGTGCATAGTGTAGTATGAGTACAACCAACTCAATAAGTAACAAGACTAAACTCTGGGCTGAAAGTAGTGACGAGCTCCGCAGGTACAGTCCAATATATAAATAACAGTACAAAAGTGTAGGCATACTTTCAAGTTCAACAGTTAAACTCAGTACAAGTAAGATAGATCAATACTGCATGATATAAGGGATATGACATCTCAGTGGAAAACCTCGTGTACTTCTGATCACTAATCGCTTGGTCACTTGGTACTGTTTATGGCCAATCCAGCCCAGGGATATTCCATCCCGTATATATATATATATATATATATATCCATTGACTGACTGTCAGTCACTCAGTACCATATAAGGTCAATCCAGTCTTGGGGTAATTTATCCCCAAATGTAAATGTTTCGGACAAGATCCATGTCCATGGAGATTTATCACACTTATAAATAAGTAAGGCAAGTCCATGCCCTGGGAAGTCCATCCCGTATATATAAATCATCTACGCTCACTGTGGGGGGTGCATACTCCGCAGGGGCTCCTTCAGCCCAAGCATGATATAAAGCCGATATGGCCTGCTGCAGGCGGGCAGCCCCGATCCATATAATGATAAATCCTATAAGGCTTGATGCATGCGGGCAGTCCTGTTCCATATAATAATAATATATATATATATATAAAGCCGACATGGCCTGCTGCAGGCAAGCAACCCCGATCCCATAAATATCCTCACATTTATAAATATGATTAAGTATTTATTTAAGTCATAATTTCTAAGGTGCACGCCCACACGCCCGTCACCTACCATGAGCGTCACCTTCATACAATTCACATAACACATAATTCAGGGATTTATATCCTCAGAACCAAGTTTAAAAGTGTTACTTACCTCAAACAGTGTAATTCTTTATTCCGCTCTGCCGTTGACTCGCGAATTGGCCTCTGAACGTCTCGAATCTTGTCACAATTAATTCATTTCAGTCAATACAAATGACAGGAATTAATTCCATATAAAAATACTAATTATCCAACAAAATCTGAAATTTAACTCAAAACTCGCTAGTGGAGTCCACGTCTCAGAACCCGACAAAAGTAATAAAATATGAACGCCCGTTCAACCACGAGTCTAACCATACAAATTTTACCAAATTCCGACATCAACTCGACCTCCAAATTATCAAATCTTATTTCCAAAACCCTAGGTCCAAATTCCCGATTTACACCTCTAAAACACGTAATCTAGTCGGATTGTTCGATGATAATTCAATATTATAGAGTAGAGATGATCAGAAGTGACTTACCTCAAGTTTTCCGTGAATTCTCTCTGAAAATTGCCCCAAAAACCGTGCTTGAAGGTCCAAAAATGGCAAAACTCGGAACCCCTTCGAAATGTATATTGTCCAGGGGTTCCGCACCTGCGACTCACTTAGCCGCTTCTGCGGTCTCGCAGGTGTGAGAAACCAACCGCTTCTGCGACTGCCCCCACTTATGCGGACTAGCTTCTGCGAAGAAGCGTCCGCTTCTACGATTTTGCCCAGCCTCCCTTGCCTCCGCATCTGCGACCTTGGTGTCGCTTCTGCGAGATTCTGTCCGCCAATGCAGACTTTCCGCTTCCGCGATGCCTTTAAAGTGTGCATGAGTGTTAAAGGAGCTACTAACCTGAGTCAAAGGAACCAGGTTCCCTGACTGAGTTTTGTAAATGTAAGCTTCATCCTTTTACCAAGATGCAAGGTTATTGATTGTTGGTTTACTCTGTAATTCCCATGCGTGTTTCGTGTAACGGTATTGAGATGAATTAGAGTTTTCCAGAAAATACTTTTTAGCAGTTTTACATGTTCATTCTTTCATATCCAATCATTGAGGGACCTAGTACTCAGTAGTCAGAATGGAGATTTAGCTTCTTTTAAAAATGCAGATTCCCATCCCAATGCTCATAGATCATCACCATATTCTAGAGTTGAAGATCGTCTTGCTTGAAACTACTTTCAGAGCTGCAAACGTCAGACAGCTCCCCGGTCTCCTCCTGAAACCTATAATATCCCCCTTTCCTTAACAACTGGATGTTTGTACTAAAGTAGCATCACATTTAGTCGTTTAGGAGCTCTTTTTTCTAATAATGTACTCTTATATGATTTCTGCCCTAGTACAATCACCACATTATCCATAGTTTCCTGTAGTAGTGTTACTTTCGTGGGAAAATAATTTCAAACCACACAAATTTGACTCGAAAGGTTATTGTTAATATTGAGGTTTTTTCTCATTCTTAATACATTTAAGGACCGTTTGATTCCTGGGATTAGGATTCTAATTCTGGAATAAAATTTATGATTATGTTTATCCTTTGTTTAGTTAAAGATTATGTCTATACAGTATTTTGTTAATGATTATGTTTATCCAGTGTTTGGTTACCCTTATTAGCTAATACAAGTATCAATTTATACCAAAATCTTGGTATTATTTATCCCATTATGGACGTAGGATAATAATACGAGGATTAGCTTTACCTGGGTAAAGTTATCAAAATGACTATATTACCCTTCAGGAGCTCTTTTCATTGTCATCGTTGAACTATCTAAGGTTAAATTAAAATAAATTTATCCAGGTTTATCCAGCTTCAGACCCAACACATGTTTTGGATTGTACTCCAGATATTCCATTTCTAAATAATGAACCAAACAAAGCACTTACTAAATAATTCAGGGATAATCCTAATATTATAATAACTAGAAACCGTTGACAGTATTAGTCTCAAGGAAAATTTCTTGCGGATGTTTTCCTTGCCTTAGCTCAATTCAGTAACTCAAAAGGTCTTACGGTTACTTAAAAGAATCACTAAAGAAAACTAAACCATATGATGTAAAGATATTCGTGAAACTATGCCATTTCTCTTTTGATTAAAATAGAATAATGAATAACTTCACAATTCCGTTTAGAAACCCATCAACAAATTCAAGCATTCAAACAAGAACCAAATCCACAAATAACGATCAATACACCATGTCCGTCAAAAACCTAATAGGAAACTACTCCATAAATGAGGAGAAGCACATCGTAATTAAGAAATAAGAACTAAAAAATATTACAACTAACTTCTGAATTCAAATGCGCATTTTTAATTGATTGTTGATGAAAAATATATTTAATTCATGTGTCCTTGAGCTCTAGCCATCTTCTCAATCTTTAGTAGGTCAAAAGTTCCATTCAAAATTATGTTTTTCATGTTTATACTGTGTAGAAACTACCTTGAACCAAAATACCTCTAATGAGCCGAAACTGACTTCATTGCCCGGGAGAATAGCCTGGCACGCCGCAAGGCACGAAGCATGGCGTGATGTGCTAGGAGGATAGTTTTTTTTATTTTTTTTATTTATTTATTTTTGCATGTTTGGACTGATCAGGCTTGGCACCTCGCTAGGTGCAGCGCGCCATGATAGGTCATTTCTAAGCTTTCAACATTTTTCTTCAATTTTTCTCATGCACACTTGGTTCTCACCCCCGAACTTGATCCCAGTTAAAATTCTTAGACTTTTACTCTGACTTCGAAGCCCCTTTAGCTCCAAATTAGTTCCTCTGCTCGGAATCAAGCCTACACAACCAAACACACATGATAAGTATATAGTACTCAGATTATAGATCAAACACGATTAAAGCATAAGAAATAAAATGCGAAATGCAGCCAAAAACATATGTTTCTAGCCAACCTTCATCTAGCATCTCGTTTATGGTAGGAAATTCTAAGATGGTTTTGACTACCATAGGTGATGCGAGACATTGAAGGAAGCACGTTTAGTTAGGCATGTGATGTTGCTCCACTGGTACTTATGTGAGTCTTATAGAGAGAAATAAGAGAGCTTTTGGAGGTGTAGAGAATAATTTTGTAAATTTCAAAAATAACCTCTTATCCTTCTTTTTTGTGCCACTATGAAGTTCCTATATATACAAATCATATGTTTTATAGAATTTTGTACTTGTATACAGGGTTTTTTCTTTTTTAAATAATGGTGGTATTCGGAACAGCTTTCGTCCGAGCTCGCACCGACGAGCCAAATTTCATAGGTGCGACTGCATAAGAAGGCAAAAATTTTCAGATTTCTTTCAAGTCCAAAATTTAATCCGTTAACCATCCAAAACTCACCCGAGGCTCCCAGGACCTCAATTAAATACACCACCAAGTTCTGAAACATCATACGAACTTAGTCGAATCCTCAAATCACATCAAACAACACTAAAACCACGAATCATACCCCAATTCAAGCTTAATGAAACTAAGAAATTTTAACTTCTACATTCGATGCCGAAACCTATCAAATCAAGTCCGATTGATCTCAAATTTTGCACACAGCTCATAAATGACATAACAGACCTATTTCAGTTTTCAGAATTAGATACTGACCCCGATATCAAAAACTCAACTCCCTGGTCAAACTTCTAAACTTAAATTTCTATTTTAGCCATTTCAAACCTAATTTAGCTACGGACTTCCAAATAATTTTTCGGACACGCTCCTAAGTCCAAAATCACCATTCGGAGCTATTGAAATCATCAAAATTTTATTTCAGGGTCGTTTACACATAGGTCGACATCCAGCCAACTTTTTCAACTTAAGTTTTAAACTTTGGAACTAAGTGTTCCCATTCATTCTAAGACCTTACCGGACCCGAACCAATTACCCCGACAAGTCATATAACCACTGTAAAGCACAAATTGAGCAGTAAATGGAGGAACGGGATTGTAATACTCAAAACGACCGGCCGGGTCGTTACATTCTCCCCATCTTAAACAAATATTTGTCCTTGAATGAGTTTAGAATCATACATGGAGCCTCAAATAGGTGTGGATATCTGCTCCGAATTTCCCGCTCAATCTTCCAGGTAGCTTCTCTATCTGACTGGTTTCTCCACTGCACTTTCACTGAAGCTATGTTCTTTGATCTCAACTTTCGAACCTGCCGGTCCAAAATGGCCACCGGCTCCACATCATAAGTCAAATTACCATCTAACTGCACTATATTGAAATCCAAAACATGAGACGGATCTCCGACATATTTTCGGAGTATAGATACATGAAACACCGGATGAACACCGATATATTAGGCGGCAATGCAAGTTCATAAGCCACCTCTCCAATCTTCTTAAGTATTTCAAAAGGTCCAATATACCTAGGACTCAACTTGCCCTTCTTCCCAAATCTCATAACATCCTTCATAGGCGAAACTTGGAGTAGTACCTTCTCTCCTACCATATAAGCAATAACGCGAACCTTCTGTTTGGCATAACTCTTATGTTTAGACTGCGTTGTGCAAAGTGGTTCCACTATAAGAAAAAAGGTGTTTTTGTGGAAATCTATAAGCGGCAATAAAACAAAGGCCACTAAATGATTTCATAAACTCAAATGTTAGCGGCAGATGAGCATTGGCCGGTATTAAGTACCCTTTTACTGGCAATAAAAGGAAATAGCCACTGAAACTCACTAATTCAAAGAAATTTTTGCTACGTATTATTTTATCTTTTCCCTCCAAATAACTTTTCGCTAAAAAACTTATTCCCTCTATTCTGTAGATCTAAGTTCCTAAAACTTTAGAAATTATTTTTAAAATAGCAAACATTTCTCATCACCACTACCCTATCACGGATGCTTTATGCCTTCTCCGTCTCACCGGTGGCAACCAATCCCATAACACAAATGATATATCTCTCCCACGTACATATATAAATATATATATATATATGAAATCTTGCAGAGTTTGGATGGGAAAGCGATCTAAGTAAATGTTGCTGATGATAGATCCGGATGCAGCTATTGAGTCTTTCAAAATTTTGGTTAGGTGTTTCTATTTTTGCGTTTCCTGTAAGTTTTTAATCCCAAATTGCAAATCTTCTAAGATAATGTGTTTAATGATTTTTTTCCCTTTGATTTACTTTCTAGGAGCGTCAGATTTGTGGATGAATGTCTGTGATAGGCGAAGTTCGCTTTCCACTTGCATGTTAAATTGTTGTTTTTTTTAAGTTGTGGTGTGCTCAAGTAGCTAGATGAAATCATTAAACATAGATCACTTCAGAGTATTTTAAGTTTTGGTTAATAACTGCCTTCTAGGTGCTCGACCTTTTGCCTCACCAAAATTTGCCCTCTGGTTAATAATTGCCTTCTAGGTGCTCGACCTTTGCCTCACCAAAATTTACTCATATTTACTCTCAAAAGTTGTATGCTCACTATCTAAGTAACTATCTTTCTTTTTGTTTTTTTTAATCTTTATTTTGTGGAATAATCTGTATTTCATACTCCATTTCACATATGGAAGAACTAACAAAAAGATGTTGCAATTTGATATTTTCTACAATGAAATAGAATTAGAGCAACTGAAGATTCAACACTGTTTTTTAGTTTGATGTCATGATACTCATCAAGTTAATTCCTTATTAAGCTCGAACAATTCTTTGATATCACCTTGTAAGGAAGACTACTAAAATATTTGATGCAATTTGTAGAGTAGTTTGTTGAGACACTTAAGGTAGGTCTTGTTGACTACTTACTGCCGCTCGAATTTTACTGCTACTAAGCACTTCTTTTTAGTGCTTCAAAAGAAAAACACTATAGAGTCTCTAGTGTACTTTGGAAAGATTGATACATCATGAGTTTATAGGAGACTCTTGAGACCAAAAAAATACTTTGCAATAAGCTATGTATTTTTAACAAGTAATTCAACATTTTTTACTGCCGTTTGAACTATATAGTCACTGAGCACTTAACTGTTTAGTACTTCAAAGAAAACTCTAGAGTGTATTAGGTAAAGATCAAATATATCATGAGTCTATAGGATAGGAGAGGGTAGAGTACTTGAGGTATGTGACTTGTTCAAGCCACGTTTATGTGGGAAATGAACGTTCCATAAAAGGGTAAAGTGTTTGAGGTTTTTATGTGAATTTCCTGTTTGTTTAGTTTCTCGAGGTTCAAACTTTATTGTACCAGAATTTGTTTTTTTGAGAAATATTTTGACAACTATTACGTTGGTGCTATTTGAATATTAATTGTTCTCCTTTTTCAATTTAATGTGTTTAACTGGACCAAATTGCTTTCAGGTCACATCAGATCTTGTTTCTAAAATTTAAATTTTTCTTTGATCTGAATATAACCATACTAATACCTCATTTCCTATTTATTTGCAGGCTCAGATTAAAAAGATTATGCAAGCTGACGAGGAATTGCGGAAGATTGCCATGATTGTCCCTCTTTTATTCTGTAAGTGCTCTTGAAATCACAAAGTTCAATGAACTAATTTAATATCTTTAGTTCATATTTCGCATACGAAGTAGGGTTCAAAGAAATCTTGATGGTATGGCGCTTTGAAATATTTCATTGATAAGGCCTCAGAAATATACATTGTCCTGTAGATTATGATCAGTTCATGCTAAGAAGTTTAAGTTGTCTTATTTGATTTAACAAACCTATATGGTAACAAAGTTCCAATAATACAAAATGCTCATAGTATTTCTTATTCCCATTATGATACCTACTGGACCATTATTGGCACCCATACAAAGTTCCAATGATACAAAATGCTCATAGAAAATATTTTCAGTAAAAAGGTTTTCACTCACCAACCAAACAAGAGAAAATATGTGATAATTCTAACTTTTCTTTTTGTTTCTTACTGTCTATTTCAACAGTTGTCTATTCTGCTAATTTTACCAACTATAGAGAAGCCTTTCTCTTCTTAACTTTTGAGAATATATAAGCATGCCAAAAAATGTTTCTTTTTGAGAGTTTGGCAGTTGATAATGAAAATTGAAAGATCAAAGGAAGAGGTAAAAGATATGCCATTATGAACATGTAAATGTCGCATAATTATTTTCTTGGCTGTTGAAGAATTTCACATATGGTTGAATGTTTGATATTCATTTTATTTTATCATTTCAGGTCATACATTTTAAATATTCAGGAATTTGGCATATGGAAACCTTCATTATGATCAAGGGCAGACGAATTTCGTGCCGCTTATTTTCTAGTTTATAGCCATTTGATAACACAAGTTATCAAAAGCTGACACTAGTAATTAGATTCAAATAGTTTAGCTTCTTTATCATATTGTCGACATTTTAAACTTGTGAACTAGTAATTATTCTTGTTTGATGTGGATTTGTTGAAGTGCATTATGCATTTTGAAATGGATTATTATTATTTACTTTTAATTGTAATAAGAAAAGTTGTTAAAATGTCTTCCTATATGGTAGTAAGATAATTTTACACTGGTCATAACAAAATTCCTTAATTATGTAAAAGAAGATGAATGCACAGATAGTTTAGTGACAATCATAATTGTCGGTAGATGGTGTTTCTTGTACCAGCAATTGAATGCCGCAATAATAAATGTCTTTAGCGGCAATAATAAATGCCGCAAAATGTGTTATGTAAGAAATTTTGTAGGCGCTTTAGTGGCAATTGTAATTGCCGGTAAATACTTTGCCGCTAAAGCTTGTTCACATTTACCGGCCATAATAGGGGTCTTTACCAGCAATCGATCTAATGGCCGCTGAAGCCTTTGCCGACGCCAGCAACAACGGCCAATAATCAATAGCCGGTAAAGGTTTTTGCGGCCATTTGTATTGCCGCTAATAAGTATTTTTATTGCCGCTAAAGGTCTGTCACGACCCGAAATTCCCACCTTCGGGATCGTGATAATGTCTAACATTTCACTTGCTAGGCAAGCCAACGTTAGAATATAATTAGCTATTTTAACACAATTTTAAATTAATTAATAGCAAAGAAACAAATGCGAAAATAAAGTCTGAAATAAAGTGAATACTCCATAATACTAGTGATGTCTGAATGCCATTTCAGAACTGGTGTCACAAGTGCACGAACTTCTAGAATAATACAAATAAGGGTCTGTCTGAAAGAAAGCACACAGCTAAAATAAAATAGAAGGGGACTTCAGAACTGCGGACGCTGAGAAGTTATACCTCAAGTCTCCTCTAGGCAGCTGAGTCCGAGCAGGTCTATGGTACGCTGCTGGGACCAACTCCAAAATCTACACAAGAAGTGCAGAGTGTAGTATGAGTACAACCGACCCCATGTACTCTGTAAGTGCCGAGCCTAACCTCGACGAAGTAGTGACGAGGCTACGGCATGTCACTTACATTAACCTGTACGCAATAATAGTAATAATAACAATTATAGAAATAAAACAAGTAACTCATTTCAATAGTTGAAGCCAACTCGGCAGTCATAACCAATTATTATTTCAATCAATTTTCGTTGCGGCGTGCAACCCGCTCCAACAATATAATTCTTCAATAAATTTCCGTTGCGGCATGCAACTCGCTCCAACAATATGAACTTAAAATTTAATATGTTGCGGCGTGGAACCCGATCCCCCAATATATTCCTTTTTATTTTCGTTGCGGCGTGCAACCCGCTCCAACAATATAAAATTAACTCTTGATTGTAATAAAAATACTTCAATAAATACCACAATTAGCAAGAAATTATTAGGCAACAAAGCATACAATGATTCTAATTTATTCAGGAAACAAGTAATGACAAGTAGTAATTAATTGTGGAAAATCAGGGAGAAAATAAGCAATTTTATATTTAATATGCTAAATGTCAAGCAGCAATTAAGACACATAAATCAAATAAGCATGTAACAATTATTGCATGAATTCAAAAGTTAATATTTGACAAGGAATATGAGAGAAACAATTATTATAACAATTAATTCGTGTCTTAAAATAATTATAATTTTTAAATAATTATGCAAATAATTAATTTGATAAAGTATAGGCACTTGTCACCTTGCCTATACATCGTTACACATGAAATTCACGTAACAAATAATTCAAGGGTTCTATTCCCTCAAGTCAAGGTTAACCACGACACTTACCTCGATTTGCAACCAACTCAAGATTCCAATAAACTTTTGCCTTGCGAATTCGTGTCTGAAATCCTCAAATCTAGTCATAAACAATTCAATATACTCAATACAAATCGTAGGAATTAATTCCATATGAATTTACTAATTTTTCGGATTAAAATTCAAAATTCATCTAAAACATCCACAGCGGGGCCCACATCTCGAATCTCAGAAAAACTTACGAAATCCGAACACCCGTTTTGCGAGAGTCCAACTATACAAAAATTATCAAATTCAGATGTCAAATGAACCTTCAAATCTTAAATTTTCGTTTTTGGAAAGTTTTACAAAAATTCTAATTTCTTCCATCTAAATTCGAAATAAATGATGAATATAGACATAGATTTATGAAATATAATCACTATATGATAAAGAACACTTACCCAGTTCGAAATCGTGAAAAACTCCTTTGAAATTGCCCCTAAACCGAGTTCTAATTGAGGGTTTGTGAAAAATGGGAAAAATCCCATTTGGGACTATTTTAATCACTAGGCGTCAGGCCTTCTTCGGGTTCGCGAAGGGCCTGTCGCGTTCGCGAAGGTACTGTCGCATTCGCGATGTGCAGCAGCCCAAGTGGCCTTCGCGTTCGCGAGTCCTCTCATGCGTTCGCGAAGGCTGCTCCCCCTGGCCTTTGCGTTCGCGAGCCAATACTCGCGTTCACGTAGAAGAAACAAGGATTCCCCCTCCCTAGGTCACAATCCTACGCATTCACGGGAAGCTGGTCACGTTCGCGAAGGGTAAGGCCCCCCATTGCTTCGTGTTCATGACCCAGCTATCGCATTCGCGATGAAGAAAATTCCACTGTCCCAAATTCCTATTCGCGTTCTCGATAAAGGCTTCGCGTTCGCGAAGCACATGACACCAGAAACCAGCAAAAGTCCCAAAAAACCAGATTTTTCAAAGAACTAAGGTCTGTAGGCTATCCGAAACTCACTTGAGCCCTCGGGGCTCCAAACCAAATATACACACAAGTCCAAAAATCTCATACGAACTTGCTCGAGCGATCAAAACAAGAATTTAACACTTAGAACTACGAATCAGACACAAAATCAAATAAAATTTTTAAGAAAACTTTAAAATATCTATTTTAACAACCGGACATCCGAATCACGTCAAACCAACTCCGTTTCTCACCAAATTTGACAGACAAGTCATAAATATAGTAATGGACCTATACCGGGTTCCAAAACCAAAATACAGACCCGGTATCAATAAAGTCAAATATTGGTTAATTCTTTAAAGTCATTAAGCCTTTAAACTTCAAATTTTCAACAATAAGCGATAACCCGAGCTAGGGACCTCCGAATATGATTTCGGGCATACGACCAAGTCCCAAATCACGATACGAACCTATCGGAATTGTCAAAATACTGATTTGGGACCGTTTGCTCAAAATATTGACCAAAGTCAACTTAATTGAGTTTTAAAGCTCTATTTCACATTTTAGTCAATTTTTGATATAAAAACTTTCTGAAAAATTATACGGACTGCGCACGCAAGTCGAGGAATGATGAATAGTGCTTTTCGAGATCTTAGAACACAGTAATGAATGTTTAAATTAAAGATGACATTTTGGGTCATCACATTCTCCACCTCTAAAACAAACGTTCGTTCTTGAACAAAATTAGAAATATACCTGAGCTGGTGAAAAGATGTAGATATCTACTCCGCATGTCCGACTCGGACTCCCAGGTAAATGCTTCTACCGATTGACCTCTCCATTGCACCCGAACTGAAGGATAACTCTTAGACCTCAACTGTCGGACCTGCCGGGCTAGAATAGCTACCAGATCCTCTTCATAAGTCAAATCTTTGTCCTATTAGACTGAGCTGAAATCTAATACATGGGACGGATCACCATGATATTTCCGTAGCATAGACATGTGGAACACCGGATGAACTGCTGATAAAATAGGCGGTAGTGCAAGCCTATAAGCTACTTCACCCGCCCTTTTTTAAGAATTTCAAAGGGTTCAATATACCTAGGGCTCAACTTGCCCTTCTTTCCGAATCTCATTACACCTTTCATAGGTGAAACCAGGAGAAATATGCTTTCTCCTGCCATGAATGCAACGTCACGAACTTTACGATCGTCATCACTCTTTTGCCTAGACTGAGCTGTGCGATGTCGATCTGGAATAACCTTGACCTTATCCAAGGCATCCTGTACCAAATCAGTACCCAACAACCGAGCCTCTCCCGGTTCAAACTAGCCAACTATCGAACGACATCGCATCCCGTACAATGCTTCATACGGAGCCATCTGAATGCTCAACTGGTAGCTATTATTATAGGGAAACTATGCAAGTGGCAAGAACTGATCCCAAGAACCTCCCAAGTCTATAACACAAGCACGAAACATATCTTCCAATATCTGAATAGTGCGCTCTGACTGTCCGTCTGTTTGTGGATGAAATGTTGTACTCAACTCAACAAGCATGTCTAACTCACGCTGTACAGCCCTCCATAAGTGTGAGGTAAACTGCATACCTCGATCTGAAATAGTAGACACGGGCACACCGTGAAGGCGGACAATCTCACGAGTGCAAATTTTAGCTAGCCGCTCTGAAGAATTGGTAACTGCCACTGGAATGAAATATGCCGACTTGGTCAACCTGTCCACAATAACCCATACTGCGTTGAACCTCCTCTGAGTCCATGAGAGTCCAACAACAAAATCCATAGTGATACGCTCCCACTTCCACTCAGGAATTTCTAACTTCTGAAGCAAACCACCAGGTCTCTGATGCTCGTACTTGAATTGTTGACAATTTAGACACCGAGCTACATATGCAACTATATCCTTTTTCATTCTCCTCCACCAATAATGTTGCCGCAAATCTTGATACATTTTGGCGGCACCTGGATGAATATAATACCGGGAACTGTGTGCCTCTTCAAGAATTAATTCACAAAGCCCATCAACATTAGGCACACAAATACGATCCTGCATCCGCAGAACTCCATCATCCCCCCACAACAACCTATTTGGCATCACCGTGCCTCACTGTGTCCTTAAGGACAAGTAAATGAGGATCATCATATTGTCGCTCTCTGGTACGCTCATATAAAGAAGACTGAGAGACTGTGCAAGCTAGAACCCGACTGGGTTCTGAAACATCTAATCTCATGAACTGATTAGCCAAAGTATGGACATCTGCAACTAACGGTCTCTCACCAACTGGAATATAAACAAGGCTGCCCATACTCACATCCTTTCTACTCAAAGCATCAGCCACCACATTAGCCTTTCTGGGGTAATACAAAATGGTGATA